GAAGCTCCAAAAAGCAGTATAATATTTCTTGTCGTTTTTCACCACTTTTACACCGTTTTGAGCGACGTCCGAGCACATGAACACCGTCCACCTCGTCTTCCGCCTCGAAGATATATTAAAATAGGCGCCCATTCGCATACGGTGCGGCGGCGTGAGCCGCCGCGAAGCTCTCGCAAATTCGCGCATTCCTGGCTCAAAATTGGCAGGTGAGTAAAATTCAATGATATACATAGTACGCGATGCTCGCGCAGAGATCGCGAGCAAGGGCGGTCGAGTGCGCGCCCTTGCACGTCCTGTACGCGCCTTCGGCGCGCGCGACCACCCCACCCTGGGCACCATATATGGGCCGCTGCGCGGCCCGTTTCGCACCGTCCAAGCCCTTGGTATGACTAATTTTCCCGATATGGATACAGCGCGATTCCAAGGACCCGACCAAATTGGTCTCTGAATTGGTCCGAAGCGCCCGCCCCTAGAGACCAAAGCCAACCCTAGAATCAGGTTACGAGACCATTTCTACCGCACGTGATCTCTCTAGGTGCACCCCCGCGAAGTTGCGGACGGCCTCGGTGGGCACAAACTAGCCCCATGCGCTCAAAAAAATGTACAGTACATTGCGACAGATTTTGGTAATGTACTGGAGTGGTTTTAGATATTTTCAGAAGGAATACGCTCGAGGTACAGGATGTATACTCGACCAGGAAGAGCTAAAGTTGCTCTATGTGCATACAGTCGCGGCGGCGCGCCGCCGCGAAGCTCCAAAAAAGCAGTATAATATTTCTTGTCGTTTTTCACCACTTTTACACCGTTTTGAGCGACGTCCGAGCACATGAACACCGTCCACCTCGTCTTCCGCCTCGAAGATATATTAAAATAGGCGCCCATTCGCATACGGTGCGGCGGCGTGAGCCGCCGCGAAGCTCTCGCAAATTCGCGCATTCCTGGCTCAAAATTGGCAGGTGAGTAAAATTCAATGATATACATAGTACGCGATGCTCGCGCAGAGATCGCGAGCAAGGGCGGTCGAGTGCGCGCCCTTGCACGTCCTGTACGCGCCTTCGGCGCGCGCGACCACCCCACCCTGGGCACCATATATGGGCCGCTGCGCGGCCCGTTTCGCACCGTCCAAGCCCTTGGTATGACTAATTTTCC